ATTACAACTCTAAAACATTTGCTTGGGACATACAGGGTTTGATTTCTAACACAACAAAAACTAAAACTAAATCGTTTATGGGGTCTGAGTTCATAACAATGAATTAAACTGGAAAATCCCCTGTACACTTATATACTTCATGGAGTTTAAAGTACAGACACAGACCACAAAATATGTGTGTGTGTGTGTGTGTAGCATGGTATTACTGTAAGAATGATGAAAAAATACAGCAAGTAAAGTAAATGTGAGCCTAGGGCAGACATAATACATAAAACAACTAACTATCAAGGAAGCATGTAGCTGTCACCAGCATCTGAATGCCAGGATACATGACTTTAGATAGAATATTACATTAAAAGTATGTTAGAGATACTATAATAGATCTGGGTTTTGTTAATATAATTTAATTTTAAAGCAAATATAGAAAGCAAAAAAAAAAAAAAAGTCTACCAAAAGGGAATGTGGTTAAAGACTGAAAGACAATAAAAGTCTGAGGTCCCATAGTTAAATCACCTAAGTCATATAAGTCATTTTATCCATTAAATACAAGTATGAAAAGTCTGTTAAAACTGTAAAAGTAACTTTATACACAAGAAACTTACTAATGTATCCTTTTCAGCTATACACTTGTTGACACAGGCAAATACATGATCAGCAATCTCTTTTACACAAATGGGGGATGTCCCTCACCCTACTTCCATCCCTCATCACACAGGCCTTGAAGTGGACAAAAAGGTTGTAGGTGTAAAAGAGGCCTTCCCCACAAAAAGTGTCCCTAAGTTAACTGTACTCAATAGGATGAAGGTATTCTTAAGGTTGCTGCAGCAAGAGAGAAGCACTCAGTCTAAATTCAGAAACCAAGGCAATGACTCCTGAAGTGCTGTCTTATCAGTATTAAATAACTAGACAAAACTTTAAAAACATCTTGGGGAGGGACATTCAATTTCAAGAAACTACCAAGACAGAGAGCCCAAGCAACAAAACTATGGGGACGGGAGGCATAAAGCAGGGGATGAAGACATAGTGGGACAGTCATGGAGTATGGGACAATCCTGGGAGGTGGTGGTGTGCGCCTTTAATCCCAGCATTTGGGCCGGGGAGACAGGCTGATGAGACCAGCCTGGTCTACAAGAGCTAGTTCCAGGACAGCCTCCAAAACCAGAGAAATCCTGTCTCGAAAAACAAAAACAAAAAAAAAAATGGTCAAGCAACTGGGATGCACCTGAAAGGCAGTATGTGGATGGAGATGACAAAAACAGCTTGGGCAAATACAAGAGTATTTTAACCAAGAACCATCCTACCCTGATTAACAAGCTTTAAGGAAGATGGTATACAGGCTTCAAAATATTTTCAGAGATAACTGAGTCTTCTATAAGTTAATATTAAGCTCCCTCTAAATAATAATGAGGCAGTGTTTCCCATTTGTGTCAAATATGAAATTTTTCAATGCCACAATGCCTAGGCCTCAGATGCTAAGGTGATAGTGATGGCAAGAAAAAAAAGATCAAGAAATCACCATCACTCCAATGCAAACCCTTCATTATTAAAATAGGGGTCACACCAGCTTTAACAAAGGTGGTGCAAAAAGAGACTTATAATAAAGGCACAGAGGCAAGAAGCAGGGGGGAGGGGAGCAAGAATGGAAAGGAAGGAAGTATAGCTAAGCTAATAATTTTCCCTGTTCCTAAGGAAGACATTTATACATGGGAAAAATAAAGCAGCTTGTAAGGCAGCACAACATTAAGGGGAAAAATTTCTCTTTTGTTTCTGTTTTCACACTTATTTTTTGTGTGTACAGATGTTAGCAGTTAACTGGCAGAAGTTGGTTCTCTCCTATCATATGGGTTCCAGGGATTGAACTCAGGTCAATAGGCTTGATGGTAAGAGTCCTTAGTGACTAAGGCCCCTTTCTTTTCTTAAGGGAATCTAGAGGCTTACTACTCCAATTCCATGCCCTAATAAGAAAATTCATTTCTAATTAAGGTAACTGCAGAGAACAGCAGCTCCAAAGACATTAACAAGTCTAACAATTAAGAGCAAACTAACTGGCCTGGTGGTATAGGCTTGTAATCACAGGTACTGTAAGACTGAGACAGGAGGAAGCTCAAGGCCTATGAGCAACTTAGTGAGACTCTTGCCTTAAAATAAAAGTTTATACATACATACATACATACATACAAAACAAGGGGTGGGGGTGTAGGGGGGTGTAGATCAGTGGTAGAGTGCTTGTCTCACATAACCAAGTACCAAGGTTCAATCATCTGCACTGCCAAATAAATCAAAGCAAAACATTTAAAACACTTAAACTTAACTGAGGTCTCATGAATTTAACACTCAGAAAGTAGTGGACTCACTACTCTAAAATTAAATCACATGAAAAAAAAAATGAGCAAATTGCAGCAGTAACCCTTCAACATCTGCATTTTCTTCCCTCCCACTAGAAAAAAGATGAAATAGTTCAATGACCAGAAATTACAAAAAGACACTGCAATTTTCCTGCTTTTAACTAATCTGAAATTAAGGAAGGACCATCCCTTAAACCTGAGTATATAAAGAGCACTGCATGTGTTAGGATAATACATATAAACTCGGCCTTCAACTGTAGGGTTAGAGCAAATGAGATTTATAGCAATTAACCTATGCCACACTTTCCCAACCCCAAAGACCATCACACCTCACTAAAAGTGGAAAACCTAAATTATAATCCTAGTTCATATTTTGATGGAAATATGAATGTCCCATGACACAAAAACAGTGACAGCCATTTCTTGATTGGTAAGATCAACCAAGTCTAAAAAGTTTGTGAATCTTATTGCAAATCTGAGTGGCTGCAGCTACCTGAAGGCACTGTTTAATTACTATTAACAATCTAATGTCCAAATTTGCACTGAGCATTTCAGAATTACACTTTAGATAACGTTTAGACTTCTGGAAAACAGGTAGCTAAGTGAAGTATTTGTTCAAATGTATCTTTGCCAAATTAGGTGCTTATTTAGGAAAGCCAGTAAGTCAATCCTTTAAATCTTGGATACCTTTTTTTTTTTTCTTTCCTTTTTTTTTTTTAAAAAACAAAATAGGCAAGGCCCCAGAACATTAAATATAAAATTACTGCTACTTAATTTCAGCTATTTTTCTACAGCAGTAATGTGAGTGCTAGCAAGCTTATATACCCATATAATCATCTATTTTCTCTCTGAATCCTACTCAAAATAGTAGGATTCAAATTTATACTCTGCTTCAGAACCTGCTTTCTATGCCAGATACATGTGATCAAGGGGGGAAAACTAACAATAAATTAAAGTTGACAGCTATAAGGCAAATATTGAAAACAATTCGGTAATAAAAAATAGCATAACAGCCAACATCCACATGCTTGTGTTACAGTCATATGAGGCTTTTACAGATGAGAAACTCATCCACCAAGAATGTAACTTCTAATGATTTAGAGGCCAAGCCATTTTCATTCATGTAAATAAGTCAACTAAGTACATAGCAGTCTAAAAAACAAGATGAAATATATTTCTAATTAGTGTAAGTTTTAAGGAGAAATGTACAACTAAAAAATAAACCTTCAGAAAGCATTTCACTTTAGCAACTCCAACAAACCTCCTGAAGCTATCTTATATAGCTTGATTACAAAACTGCCTTTTGGTATATTAAGCTCGGAGGAGAAGCCACAACCATTTCAACTTCTGTAAATTAACCCTGACTATATACTTAAGGGGAGCCAATCAGGTTCCACGGGGGTATGGAAATTGCACCCTGAATATACTACCAGACCACACAAAAAAGTGATCATTCTTTTCCTCTTGTGGTCTTGCAAACATCAATTCAAAACAAATTCCAAGTGCATTTGAAATACTCGACTCAATTTGAAATGGAGTGTAGCTAAATACCCTAAAAGAAACACTGTAGTTGCTACTGCCTCTATGAAAGAAAAAAACTTCCCTTGATTAACTGTGTACTACAAACTAATTCTACTACAGCCATGGGAAACCCTCTTGTTTATTCAGTTACGGAAAACTTCAAAGTTTCAGTTTATGATTAAGACAAAGTATTCCGCGGCCAGAGAAAAGGTCTCAAATGGAAGTAAGATAGAGATAACATTTTCTACGGGTAAGTTTCTCACATTTCCAGTCAGTCCAAATTCAAGGCCACTTTATACCAAAAAATAAGGGGAAACAGGATTACATTCACTGAAAAATCGCAATACGCAATGACCTCAACCCTGAAACAAACTTAATGTTCTATTATACACCACTGAGAAGCAGGTGGTAAGAGGTTCCTGGCCTGTTCCCATGAGTCTTCACACTTGATTTTTATATTTTTAACTCTTTCAAACTCGGCCTTGCTCAAGTCTGTCAAGTGGAAGGGGAAAAGGTAGCAGCATTCCACACACACACTCAGCAACAGGATCCTAACTTCCTGGTTCTAAAGGAATGCAATTCCCTTATGAGCCATCTCTCCCCGCAGCAGCAAGCGCGGCTGTCTGGCCGGTCTCCGGCGGGACCCAGGGGGGCGAGGCCACGGCGCCGCACTGCGGGTCCCCGGCGTTCGCCCGCTCGACCTCGGGACGCTGGAGGCCTGCGACCCCAGCCCATTCTCGTCGGGCTGCATGGGCAAACCCGCAAGGGCCATGGGGACGCGGCCTCGGGGACGACTCAGCGCACATCTCACTTCGCTCCAGTCCTCTCCAGCCAGGGCCGTGTCAGTCAGGCCGGGAGGCCGGACCCCGGCCCGCAGGGCCTCCCAGGTTCAGCCTAACCTGGACCTCCCGGGCCACAGTCCGGCCTGCCCTGCCGGTCCCTCCATGGTCCTGCCCCTCTCTCGATCCTCCCCGGCCCTGTGCCGTCCCTCCTCGGCCGGGCCCAGCCCTGCCCGCCACTGGCCCAGTCCCTCCGGGAAGATGGCGGCCCAGTGACAGGCTGGTGCAGGCGCGGGTCCGAGCACGGGGCGCGGAGGGAGGCCGCCCCGTCGGTGGCCGAGGACGGCCCGCTCACCTGTCAGCCGCCCGCCCCGCCCGACCGGCCGCCCGCGGGCTCGTCGCCGCAGCCCCGGTGCCCGGCGACCGCGCAAAACACGCGGGGACGGCCGAGGAGGGAGACGGCAAGAAGAGGCGGCACGGCCGGGCCGGGCCGGAGACAGCAAAGAAGAGCGGGCGCGGGCTTGGCAGCGGCGGCAGCTGATCCTTCCCCTTTCGGGCCCGAAAATGTCTCAACCTCGAGACTCCAGATCCCCAACGCTCCTTCCCGTTCGCATGAGAACACACAGATCCCACTTCCGGGGCCCTGCGGAAGTCCCACCCCCGCGCGGCCCCGCGCCCTACCCCGGCGCCCTCACCCACCCGGCCCGCCGACTGGAGTTTGGCGCCCGGGAGAGCCTGGCGTCATGGCGGTGCTGCGTGGTGATTGGCTAAGAAGACCCGAGTCCTCCCTTCTACTTCCCCCAGCCTCTCCGCAAGCACCCGTCTCGCGGCATCTGTGATTGGCGCGTGCGCGCACGACGGCGACCCCGCCCCGCCCCGCCTTGCCTTGCCCCGAGCTGCTGCGCGCGCCGCCCGTCCTGTCTCCCCGCCCATTCCGCAAGCCCCGCCCTGTAGCTCCCTGAGCACTGGCGGTTGTAGCTAGCTAGCTAAGTGTCGGTCTTCTAAGCGAGTGCTATCCTGTGGGGCCTCCCGGGCTGGCTGCATCCTGAAAGCGAAAACCTCTCGCTCCGGACCCGCTGTACCCAGGACCTCGTACAGGGTCCGGCACTCCTCTACAGCTTCCGGGAACTCAGTGTGGGACAAGAGTGATTCGGATGAGCAAAAAACCTGGTCTTGAGGCTAAAAAAAAAAAAAAAACATTTTGATACTAGTGATACCTTGGTCTTGTCAATTTCTTAAAAAAAAAACCCAAAAGTATGTTGCATTTACTTAAAACTTGCTGCTGCGGACTTCTATGCGTTCGTGTGCCAGTTGGATACTTTCTATAATTCCCCATTGAGATAGCTCTATTGGAACTATATCCAGTTACTGTGTATCTGTTAAGCTTGTTCATTTCCAGGAATAGTATTCAAATGCTGAAGATTCTACATTTTGGAAGGCTTCTTGAATTCTCATGTATTGGGTCTTTTTGTGGGAGTTTGTTCTCTTCTGCCCTGTGGGTATTGAGGCTCAAACTCTGGTGTTTGGACATCAGTGTAAGAGCCTTTACCAACTGAGCCATCTCACCCATCCCTTTTGTGATGCCTTGTTGCAAGTTAACTATACTCGAAGACCCATTTCTTCTTGTGATGGTTTGAATGAAAATGGCCTCCATAGGATCAATAGGGAGTGGCACTATTACAAGGTGTGGCCTTATTAGAGTACATGTGGCTTTGTTGGAGGAAGTGTGTCACTAGGAGTGGGCTTTGAGGTTTCAAATGTTCAAGCCAGGCCCAATGTCACTCTTCTGTTTGCTGCTCTGGATGTAGAACTCTCAACTACCTCTCCAGCACCATGTCTGCCTGCATCCCACCAGGCTTCTGACATACTTCCTGTCTTGGCGACAGTGGATAAACCTCTGACCTGTAATCCAGCCATAATTAAATGCTTTCCTTTATAAGAGTTGCAGTGGTCATAATATCTCTCATAGCAATAGAAAACTAAGACACTTCTTCAACCCGGATCTCACTATTAACACAGGTTGGGTTTCAACTCACACTAATTCTCTTACCTCCTACCTCCTAAGTGGTAGAAGTACTGCCTGGGCACAGTTGTGTCCTATTCATAGATGTGTTTCTAAATAAATTGCATGAGAGTAGAGATTCCCTCTGGTACTGGAAAGTATGTACAATTTTAATACTATTAAAACCTCTTCCTTCCCGGTAGTTCTGCCTGTTACATCTCAGAGTATTTGTCAGAGCAATGCAATTAGAACACTATCCAGAGTACCAACAGGCATTTTCTTTCTTGTCTTTTTTTTCCTTTGAGACAGGTTTTCTCTGTGGTTTTGGAGGCTATCCTAGAACTAGCTCTTGTAGACCAGGCTGGCCTTGAACTCAAAGAGATCCACCTGCCTCTGCCTCCCAAGTTCTTGAAACACAGCTTCTCCATCTTTTCAATAAAGATCTCCATGGCTCCCTGTTGTCTTTCCTACAGGAAAGTACTATTTCATAGAAAGAAGGCCTTTTACAAACTAGTGAAAATTTCCTATTTCAGCCCCATTCCTTACCTTTTCTACCCTGTAGGGTGAGACACCCTAACTTCCCAGTTACATTAGTGTATGAAGAATTCATAAGACATTGGGTGAGGAACTGAGTCTACACTGGAATAAAGCACAGCCTGTACACTCTACACAGTGCAGTTTACTGAAAGCCACACCAACTGGGATGTGGCTCAGTGACAGATGCTTGCCTGACATGAGGAAGGCCCTGGCTTCCATTCCTAGCATAGAGGGGAAAAAATAGAAAGAGACAGAGAGAAAAAGACAGAGACTGTTACATGGAAAACAAGACCCAGAAATGGATATTGAAGATCAAACCTCAAACTGATGGTCAGAAAAGCAAAGTAGCCAGCCACTAGCTCTCACCTCTAACTCAAGCTGACAGGGCTGATCCACGCACAAGCTCTTCACCAAGCCTCAAAACACTGCTTCTTCTCAGTGCAGATGGTGAATGACTACTGAAGACTCTGCTCCTATCTTTTATAATGCTTAGATTAAAGGCGTGTGGCCCTAGGTGCTGAGATCGTCTTTGTGTGAGCTGTTTCTCTTTAGGCTGGATCAATTTTGTATAGATCTGGGTGGCCTTAGACTCACAAAAATCTGTCTGTCTCTTAAAACTGAGTCCTAGGATTAAAGGTGTGTACTACCACCTACTAGATCTGTGGTGTGTATCCCATTGCATGACTTCTATAGCTTGTGGCTCTTTGCTTTCTGAATCCTCAGGCAAGCTTTAATAAATCATAAATAATATATCACCATAAGAGACAGACTGATGAACAGAAAAAAATCCAGATCTGTGGGTATAAGCATAAATATCCACAAGTTAATTTGACAGCATGATCATTTAGCAAAATAATGATTGGTATTTTGCCATAGGAGACCCCCAGCACTATAGTACAGGCATGAAATTCTCTCTGCAGGAATAGAGCTCAAATCCTACCACAAAATTTTAAGTTACTCCATAATAGCTATGCCACTACTGTACCAGGGGGCATACCTTGTTTGGTAAATTATTACTGCAGCAGGCAATACCCAGTGCTAGGTTAAGATCCTTGATGTCTTTCCTCCCCTAGAAGCCTGCATAGCACCCTGGCTAAGAGAAAGCTTCCATGTTGGTTTAACTTTGATTTCTCTGTGTCCTGCAGCCAAACCGTGTGGTGTCTTCAGCAATAGGGTCTTACCTTGCAATTACACTGGGTCACCAAGGGCAATGACACTTACCTCCGGCCTCCCTAACCAATAACTCATAAGGAAACATCCCATGCCCTGTAATGAGATTTTCATTTAATAATCCATGTCTTCTAGACACAACTATGTCCACCCATGCAGTGTAATTATGTTCAAACTTTTTGTTTGTTTGTTTTTCTAGACAGAGTTTCTCTGTGTAACCCTGCTTGTGCTAGAACTCACTCTGTAGACCAGGCTGGCCTCAAACTCCTCTGAGATCTGCCGGCCTCTGCCTCCCAAATGCTGGGATTAAAGGCGTGGGCCACCACCATCAGGCCAAACATACACACACACACCCTAGTAGTTTTGTGAACTCATGCATTTTTTTTTTCTTTTTCAAAACAGGCTTTCTTTGTATTGCTTTGGTGGTTGTCCTGGAACTCACTTTGTAGACCAGGCTGGCCGGCCTCGAATTCACAGAGATCCGCCTGCCTCTGCCTCCTGAGTGCTGGGATTAAAGGCATGTGCCACCAACACCTGGCTGAACTAATGCATTTTAAAAAATCCAACATATTCTAATGTATGACTGTCATTCGCTTTGACATTTCTGCCTAATTTGACTAAGTCAATTCTTTACTGTGTTTCTATCCTGGTCCTTTTTGTGGTAGGAGAAACTCTGCAGCTAATCTTACAGAAGCTTCTAAGATTTCCTCCTGGCCTCATAATAAACTCTTGAGTCACTGAACAGGACTGGCCTGTCTCTAACTTCCCAACTGGTGCTCAGTCTATAAGGAAGGCTTGTGAGCAGCCTCTCTTTGTCTCCAGACTTGAGTTACCTTTCACTCCTGGTTTCTTCCCAAGTTGTCTGAAATCCTGCTTTCATAACTCCTATGCCTAACCCCCTTTCCCACTCATTATTACTTTTTTTCAGTATTGTTCTCCTGTCCCCCAGAGCTCAATAGAGTCTCTCAAGATAGAGGAAGAAGTTCTTAGTAATATTTGTTTAATTGATAGATAATGAGTAGCACAAAAAAAAAAATAGAATTTATGTTTTGTTTTGAGGTAGGGCCTCATTCTGTAGCCCAACTTATCCTTGAATTAAGAGCAAAATCTAGACTGAACTAAAAATCTAGACTGAGATCTTCCTCCCTCAGTGTCGTAATTAAGAAATGGGCCACCATGTCATGATTAGAAATTAAAAGCCTTGTGCTGGGCCTGGTAGCCTGAACCTTTAATCCCAACACTCTGGAAGCAGAGACGAGTGGATCCCTGAGTTTCAGGCTAGCCTGGTCTACAGTGAAAGTTCCAGAACAGCCAGAGCTATACAGAGAAACCCTGTCTCAAGAAACAAAAACAAACAAAAAAGAAAAGAAAAATTAAAAGTCTTATGAAAGCTTACTAGTTGGGGGGGGGGAGAGGGAGAGAGCAAGAGAAAGGAAGGGAGGGAGGGAAAGAGAGAGGGAGGAAGAGAGAGAGAGAGAGAGAGAGGGAGGGAGGGAGAAAGAGAGAGTTTGGCCTGATGGTGGTGGCCCATGCCTTTAATCCCAGCACTTGGGAGGCAGAGGCTGGCAGATCTCAGAGGAATGTGAAGCCAGACAGGTCTACAGAATGAGTTCTAGCACAACCAGGGCTACACAGAGAAACTCCGTCTAGAAAAACAAACAGCTCTTCTTTACAATGAAGAAGAATTGTTTTTAAAAAATCAACTATGCTGCCACTCTCACAGATTTTACAATGAGCACGAATGCTGGAGTGAATGGAAGTTTATTGAGGCAGAACTTATATATGACATTTCAGTGCTTATTAATTTCAAAGGGAAAGACATTTTGCAGCTGATAAATGTGTGGGCTCCTTCTGAATCAAGTGCAGCAAGTCAGCAATAATGGCTTCCTGACTGACCTCAGTTGTTCCTCATGTGATTACTTCAGTCATGTGAGACTCATGCCC